TAAATGGTGTTGAGAAAACTGGACAGCTACATACAAAAGAATGTATGTCATACACAAAAATTAACTCAAAATAGATTAAAGACTTGAATGTAAAACCTGAAACCATAAAATTCCCAGAAGAAAACATGAGGGGTAAGTTCTTTGACATTGGTCTTAGAGATTGGTTTTTTGGATTTGACACCAAAAGCAAAGGCAGCAAAAGCAAAGGCAGCAAAAGCAAAAATAAACAAGTGGGACTACGTTAGACTAAAAAGCTTCTGGACTCTGCAAAAGAAACCATCAACAAAATGAAAAGGCAACCTACAGGATGGGAGAAAATATTTACAAATCATATATCTAACGGGTTAATATCCAAAATATGTAAAGAACTCATAGAAATCAAAAGCAAAAAACCCAAACAATCCAATTAAAAAATAGGCAGAGAATCTAAACAGACATTTTTCCAAAGAAGACATACAGATGGCCAACAACAAAAAAAGGTGCTCAACATCACTAACCATCAGGGAAATGCAAATCAAAACCACAATGAGATATCACCTCACACCTGTCACAATGGCTCTTAACGAAAAGATAAGCAATAACAAGTGTTGGCGAGGATGTGGAGAAAAGGGAACACTTGTGCACTGTTGGTATGAATGCAAATTGGTACAGCCACTATGGAAAACAATATGTAGGTTCCTCAAAAAATTGAATTAACATATGATCCAAGAAATTCTACTTCTGAGCATTTCTCTGAAGAAAACAAAAACACTAACTTGAAAGATGTGTACCTTGTGCTCATTGCAGTATTATTTACAATAGCCAAAAACATGGAAATAACCTAAATGTTCCTTAACGAATAAACAGATAAAGAAAATGCAGTATATATAAATATACATTCCATTATTCCAATATTATATATAGTATAGAATTATACAATTATATATAATTATTAATCTTACTAATAATTAACAATATAATTATACTAAAATAAAATTTCACATAATCAATAATTAATTAAACTATCATTAATATTATCATTAATAATATGATTATATTATTAGTAATAATATAATTACATTCTATATTATATATTATTATATATATAATATGTATATATTATTGGAATAATGGAATATATATATATTTATATATAATTCAGCCACAAAAAAGACTGAAATCTTGCCATTTGCCACAAAATGGATGGACCTTGAAAACATTATGCTAAGTGAAATAAGACAGAAAAAGATAAATAGTTTGATGTCACTTATATGTGGAATCTAAAAAACAAACAAACAAACCCAAAATAAGAAACAACCAAATGTCCTTCAATGAGGGAATAGGGCATAGACAAATTTTGGTACAGCCATATATTGCAATACTGTGCAGAAATAAAGAGCATAGACTAATGATGCACACACCAACTTGTGAATTTGGTGTGACTACTTTATGAATTTCAGGTATATTGTGATTAAGGGGGCAAAAATCCAGTTTCAAAATCTTACTTTATGACTCTATTCATATAACATTCTCCAAATGACAAAATTATAATGATAAAGAAAAGATAGGTGAATGCCAGAGGTTATGGTTGGTGAGAGAAAGTGAGTATCAAGGGGTAATTTATTTGTGGAGATGGAATAGTTCTGTATCCTGAGTGTGGAAGTAGTCATATTAATCTGTACTTGAGACACTTTCTACAGAACTATATAGCAAAAAATTGAGTGCATTTTTTAAATGGTGAAATCCAAATAAGGTACTCAGTTCTGTTAACAGTGGTGTACCATGTCAATTTGCTGGTTTCTACATGTACTGTGGTTATATAAGATTTTATCTATGAGGAAGATGGGTAGGACAAGACAGGAACTCACTATATTATTTCTGCATCTTTTATGGGTCTAAATCTATTTCAATATAAAATTGCTTAAAGATAGTAAAGAGACAGAAATCAGATCAGTGGTTACTGAGTACTAAAGAAAGGGGAAAGAATTGGCCACAAAACCACACAAGGGAAATTTGGGGAGTTATGGAAATATTCTTCATCTTTATTATAGTGGTGGTTACACAATTAAAATATTTGCCTAAATTTATAGAACTATACAACTATAAAAATTGAATTATGCTATATACAAATTATAATTTAACTGATGAGACATAATTTTAAAACTCTGTCATATTCTTTAATAGTTGTAGTCCTGTTCTTAGCTCTGTTAGTATATTATCTATGTCTAGTATAAAAAGAGCATTTTTTTTTTTTTTTACCTTTGAGCAATAGGGTTGGTAAGTTTTTGGCCTGCTGAATTTTATTGAATAACTTTTCATGGACGTGACAATCCAGAGTTGTGGCTCTATACAATTAAGAGGATTTGCAGACATTTCTGAATCCTTAAAAGAAAATTATGTCCCAAATGAATTTAAAGTAAAATGTTCTTTCATATTACATTTGTGGTCATTTGACATTTAATAATTCACCTATGTTGGATTAAATATTCCTATAACCGAGTGTAAATTGTTCATTAGGCTAAATAACAACATCACCTCTATTTGAAAGTTTTGGCTTGATTCTTACTATTAAAGTCATTTCTGAAATGATTTGACTAAGTATAATTTTTAGCAGAAAATGATGGCATACATGTTCAGTCAAATGATTCTTTCATAGAATATTATTTCTAGGGCTTACAATTGCAACATCATGGTGTATAACAAATAGTCTCATTATATTTTAGAGTTTTCTTGTCTGGACAAGTTGGATTCGAGTCTTCCGGCCGAGATACATTTGTATTGATCATTTTAAAACAAGGTATATGGTGCCAAATCATTTGGGTCTCTTCTGAGACAGGAGGTAGACTAAAAGACTTCAGTCTCCTTTGAAATACTGGTAAATGTGGACTTCTGTTATTCTCTTTTCAACAGTACGAAGTTTCCAAAAAAACCCAAAAACCCCACATTATTCAGTGACCTGGGGGAAGGTCGCAAACGTGGTGTTTTATGTGTTGAAGATAAATTCAGGTAGCTCCTTCCTGTTATTGCCCAAAGTAATGGGTTTCTTTGCCGACAACCTGTGGGGCAGTGACACTGGGGTGGCTGAACACTGTCCTTACTTTCCACTTTTTCTTTCTTTCTCTTTTAACATCTCTATTATGTTAAAGACACAGTCTTCTTACTTTACCTCTGGTGCAAGTTTAATAATGCATTCTTTTTTTTTCCATGAAAGTATTAATTCACACATCTAACATTTCCTTTGCTAGCTAATTAAAAAAACCCAAAATGAAAATCTTGTAGCCTGCTGTGATCCATAGGCAGTCCCTCCTGTTCTTAGTCTCTGCTGACGAATATATATAGGAGAAGTCTGGCGTGTGAGACTGGGGGATTCACAAAAATTTTAACTCTAGGCTTCAGTTTACTCTTTCCTCAAATGTCCTGCTCCAGAAGAATTGATTTGCCACAGATACCCCTGATGGTGTTTATGTAAATAACTCACAGAGCTACTGTAAGAATAATATTCTCTTAATATAATAATGGAGCACTTTCTGCACTCAACACATCTTGTGTTTTTCCATTGAGTTGGAGTTGAACAGTGCTACATTCAAAGTTTTCTTTCTGAATTCTAGGTTTTTCCACTGCTGTAAGAGGTGGGTTAGATTAGGATGATGAATGTGAGTCTAGCACCCAACTTGCATGCAAACTGTCTTCATATTTTTTCCCTAACGTCTAAGAGACAGGCTCCCACATTTATTTTTTGTGTTTTTTTTAAATGAAAGTATAGTTGACATACAATATTATGTGAGTTTCAGGTGTATAACATTTGCATTTATATACATTATCACTTGATCATCTAGTAACCTTCTGCCACTATATACAATTATTACAGTATTGACTATATTCCCTATGCTGTACAATACATTCTCGTAACTTATTTATTTTATAACTGGAAGTTTGTACTCCCACATTTACAGTAAAGAAGTTATATATTAGAAAATCTAAATATTGTATCGGGGTCACTTAGTGATAGGTGAGATGATCTCAGGTCTTTCAACTGCCAAATATCTTTCCAGAAATCAGACTGTGAAGTAGATTAGTTAACTAGAGAGACAATGACTGATGAAATCTCACCCTACTTCAAAGCCTTCAATGACACCCGCTTACCTTATTTAACATATAATTTAAGATACTGCCCCATGTGGTTTCAACCTCACTCCCATGAGCCTTTTTTCCTTTATTTTTTTTGTGCACTTTTATTGGGACACAATTGACATACAACGTTGTTCAAGTTGAAAGTGTACAACAGGATGATTGGATACACATATATAGTGAGAAGCGATTACTACAATAAATTGGTTTCTTTCTGTTTCTACTATTCACATCCTATTCTCTAGGCTGGATTTCAAAGCTGGCTGCCTCAATACTTATCTGGGAACTTTTCAAAAATACCATTACCCAGACCTCAGGTACAAACTGTCATTCACAACGTTGGTGTTGAGACCAAAAATTGCTAAAAGGTCTCTAGCTGATGTCAACACCTGGTTGGGAATTCGTACTGTGGTTTTACAAGATGTTCCCATTGGGAGAAACTGGTTAAAGGATACAGGAGAACTCTCTATATTGTTTCTTACAACTGTATGTGAATCTACAATTATCTCAAGATAACAAGTTTCAATTTAAACTTTAAGAAGAGTTTAAATGTAAAACAAATCTCCAGTTGAGTCTATTGTTCTCTGGTGTTGCAAAATACTAAGGGCATCTGTCTAATTACAGTTCACAAAACTCCTCTTCTTTGCTGGTTTTGATTCTCTTGTCCTTTGCAGCCCAATAGCTTGGAAAGCTTATATACATTTTCTCTATCATAGAATCTGTGATTATTCTTATTACCTTTCCCATCCTCATACTTCTGTGTTCATCAGATCAAACTGTCCCAAACCTCCTGCTGAGAGAAGATCTACTGGGCTAGATCTTTGTGAGGCAGAACACAGAATACCTCAGGGTCTCATCTGCCATGGGTCATCTGTTTTACTCTATCAAGCTCCTCACCAACAGGCTAATAAAAGAGACTCCTCAGCTGGGTGGAAGTAGTTGAGAAGCAGAGGTGAAGAAGATAGGCACAGTCCCTGGAACTGCAGACCTCACTTTCCACCGCCTTCTCTGTTTCAGATTGGTCAGGTGGGGAATCTACAAGGGTAGCCCTAGTGTATAGCACTACTGTGAGGACAGCTCCAGGTCAGTTCTTCCTGAAATAACTCTTTCTATTTTCTGAGGAAAAAAAAAGAGATTTAAATGTGTATATTTCCTTAAACGCAGCCAGGCTTCTTGTGGGCCGAGCCAAGGGTTGGGGAATGAGCAGCTCCTTCTTAAATGTGGAAAGAGGACTTGTCCTGGGATTGCTCTCACATGCCTAAGAGGCCCTCTGTTCACATATATGTCCTATTGAATCTGACAGTTGGGGGAAGAAAAGAGAATTGTCCACCTTAATTAGAAATCTAGTGGGGTGGAGGGTTTCTTTACAAACAAGAAACTTTCATCTGGAAATAGGAAATTTGTCTCCTGTGCCATGTGTTATAAACATACCAAGTTTCCTTCCTCAGACTTGATAAAATGTCTTTCTTCTCATCATGGATCAAAGCTATATTCGTCATTGCCTTGGCATTTCCTCTTTATTCTGGTGAGTAACTTTTCCAATCTGAGGTGAAACATTTCACATATCACAGAAAATGCAGGAAACAACTGCTGTAATTTAGGAATGGAGGAGCTTTTTGTTGTCGAGTTTGTAAACTTTAAACTGATGAAGCAAAAACGGACATGTTAACAAATGCTTTTTAAAAATTGCATCAGTGGATTGCTTTTTCTCATTTCCTATTTTGGACAAGTGGAGACAGAGCAGTGGGTTAGAATGGGCAGTATAATTTCACTCTTTGTTCATCTATGACTAAAGAACATTACCTAAATTCTTCTTCTTTCCTTTTTGGAGGCCAGATTCCATGGTTGTTAAATGCAAACCGTGGGAAGGAATGATCTCTTCTGGGTCTGGTATTGTTCAATATTCTGATTTTTGATCAGCCACTCTGAGTCCCGTAAGACAAGCCTTTGTTTAAGGAGAGAACACATTGATGCCTCTGGCGATAGTTGTCTTAGAGCTCACAGTGGACAATGCATTTCAGAATAAGGCATCTGTGAGGTATTGCATAGACCCACACATTTAGATCAGAGTACCAATTAATTCAGTACTAATTGATTTCTTCATATTTAATAGACATGCTCTAAAGCATTGTCCTCTCTGTCTAGAATGTGTCATCTATGCAAATGGGGAGAAGAACAATATCTTCAAAGTAGGATGTTAGGGATTATTAACAAACAGTACACAAAATTATTTTTCACAGAGTGAGAATAATAGGGAATTAAGTAATGCTTTCAAATTTTATATTTGCGAATTATTTGTTTTGCTAATCACATGAACAACCTGCCTCATTATTAGCAAGGTCTTGAGTAAGCAACTTGCGTAGGTTTTTGCTATTAAAAGATACGGGCCCTGTTTACCAAAGACAATTCTTCTCCCTCCTCCCATCATCTTCCTTCTCCTTTTCCTTCTCCTTCTTTTACTTCTTCTTCATTGTCTTGTTAATTTTTAACTTTTCATCTATGTGTTGGTTGCAGAAACTTCTTTTGCTCCTGCACCAGAATTCAGATTTCCGGTAAGTTAATATTGATGGAAGTTGAAAAAGCTGAACAATTAACTTTTTTACACTGTAATTTTAAGAGCATACTTCATCAAACAAAATGTACAACAGAGAGATCTTTCAAAAAGTACAAAAGAAGTGTTATTATTACACTAAAGTCAAGAAATAGAAACTTAACAGCCATCTAAAACCATTTGTCATTATCTAGACAACATAAAAATGTACATATCCCACTACACAAAAATTCAATTAATGGGCATAAATGTTGTTTCATATAAGCATCTGAGAAAGGTCAAAGTGTGCTTAGAGTAGAAGTGTCCATCTTAGCAAAGGAAAAGTAAAAAAGAACCGATCTAAATATACACTTAAAGGTGGATAAAATAATGACAATTTTCATTTCAATAGTGGAATATTGCATAGAGGTGAAAAAGATTAAACTACAGCAGTAAATATCTGAATAAACAGAGTCACAAAGAAGTTTAAAAAACAAGTGATGTAAGCATACACACAGTATTATTTATGTAAATTAACAATGCTGTCAACACTAAATAAATTGCATTTATATCTACAGCTACATATGTTCATACGCACTTACACAAATACACACATACTGACAAATAGACAAGCATACACATATATAGTGAAATTATCAAGAAAGACGAGAGGGTGATAAATAGAAAAATTAAGTGTCATGATTTCCTTTTGAGTTTGAAAGAAAAAAGATGGAAGGTGACGTGAGAACGGTCATTGTTAAATTGTAAAAACACGTTCAACCAGTTCTATGACCTTTTAAAAAAGTAATAGCAGGTTTGTAAAAGAGTATTAATAATATTTTAATTTTTAATTGGGCTATATGTTAATTTTATATGTGTTAGTGTCATAGCTGTTAGTTTTTAAAACTACACATAGATGGTATTTTTCCAATTTTGATCCATGGCAAGTCATATTAAGATTAAATAAAATTTTATTCAGAGTTTCATTCCCTGATAAATTTCATCTTTAACAGCCAAACTGTAAACCGTATATAGATCCTCAAGGAATTTGCACCAAAGAGTTGGATCCAGTCTGTGCAAGCAATGCAGAAACTTATTACAACGAATGTAATTTCTGCTATGAAAAGATGTAAGCATACAATGGTAAATATTTGTTCTTCCACGGTATGAAGACACTATCTCAAAAGTGATATCAAAATCTGTGTTGCTGATAACATAGGCACAACATATATAGAAAATAACTGTCAGATCTCTGTAAAATATTAGGGGCCATACTTGTACCTTTTCCTGAAGTTCTTGTTTCTTAAAGTAATTTTCTATTTAAGCTCTCACTATAATTTTGCTTGATATTGTACAAATGTATAAATCAATTAATTTAACTTAATTATGAGTTACTAATGGGAGACTAGCAATTCTAAGGCCCAGATGCGGAGTGATAGACTACTGCGGTGGCCATGATATTGACCCCTGCAGAATCTTAGCTGCAGGGAGCATCATAATCGTGCAAAAACTCAAAATGATTGTGGTACTCTGAAATCTCTCACAATGGAATCATTCATGCTAGAAAGGGACACCTCTGAAGGTCGACTTTGTCTCATGAACTCCATGACAGCCTCCAAATTTTCCTTGGAGAGGAGATCATTCTAGAACACCTCCATCCAATCTCCCTTCCGGCTTCCTTCACTCTGAAGGAGTTTGCAGCCTAAAGGTTTGCCAGCCTTCCTACCTCCCTCCTCACGTTCTCTCGCAAAATCTTTGCACATTTAATCCCAAAATTGACATCTTTTTTCTGGAGAACAACTAAGATAATCTCCAATCTCTTCTCTCTCAGATCTGGGTGGGTCCCAAGACTGAGTCATGACTGAGCATGGAGAAGAGTCAAGTAGCCATGGGGTGAGGACATGTGCCAAGCTCTAAGAGCTAGCAGAGTCCAGCTGTTTCTGGAAATGGAGGAGCCTCTCCATCATGTTCCATGTTCAAATCCTCCTTGTTGATAAGTGCTTTGTTGTCTCTGTGTTTAACACCCAAACTATATTCTGCATGCATATTGTCTACATTTTTGCACCATGGAAATGAGTTCAATCTGTGCAAGCAAAGGTCAAACTTACAGCAATGAATGTACTTACTGCAGTGTTACTACCCAGGGAGTCTAAAATGTTCTTTTTTAAATAAAATTTTTATTCTAGAATAATTTTAGATTTACAGAAAAATTTCAAAGATAGTGCCAAGTTTCCATATCCTTTACCCAATATTTCCTGAGGTTAACCCCTTAGGGAACCTTGGCACACATGTCAAAACTAGGAAATTAACATTGGTACATCACTATAAACTAACCTACAGAATATATTTGAATTTTACCACTTTCTCCATTAATGTCTGTTTTAATATTTCTTGAACTGTAACATGCTTTATTTTTTTCTTGCAAATCCTTAATTTTCTTTTTTTTTTGTTTCTCTCTTTCTCTACAGGAAAAGCGGTGACAAATTTGATTTTAAACATTTTGGAGAATGTTAAATATTGATGGAGATGTGCATCAATATGGCTTTTATTATAATCACATTTTGTGGTGCACTCTACAGAAAATTAGTTTTCTCAATCAGAGCCTTAAATTCATAGATGATCAAGTGAATCTTAAGGAGCAGAAGATGGAATATATATCATTCAAAAGTTTTTCCAACTCTAAGTTCCTGTGATTTCAGGATTTTGATTCTCTGTGTTCAACTTTTCAATGACAGTTTGAAAATATAATGTCTTAATTGCATGTTTGATAAAATAAAAACTAATGTAACTTAATTTCACTCATTAAAATGTTAAATGATATTATCTATATTAAAATGCCCTTTCTTTGAGTAATGGCTTAAGGCATGGGCATACTTTGGTAACTGTAATCAAAGCAGTATTTTCAAAGGTGAACTAGTTAATACATTACTTGACTGTTTAACAAAAGTACAGATTCCTGGGCTCCTTTCTAGCCTAAAGAGTCAAATTCTCCAAGAAAGGGGGATCTGGGGAACTGAATTCTAAGAAGCAGCCAAGGTTAATGTTATGATCACAAATGTTAGGCAATAAGAGGTTAATTTAGCAGGAAATTAAATACTGTGATTGAATGACTTGAAGAACCACTCAAAGATGCTGTAAGATTTCTGAGGCTTTGGAAAAATTTATCATATTATTTTCTTTCTCTCTCACAAATAAGTCAAGAGGTAGGTGAGGGATCTTCAAACGCAAGATGACACTGTTTTTCTCAACCTGGAATATTCATTCATGGTGTAAGTCCGATGCTTTTCCATTTCTTCCATCTCCCAACTAACAAGAAGCAGCCTATAGCTGAGTAGCCAAATGCTCATTTAATGCTCAATTTTAACGACAGAAATATAGATTGCTGACTGAAAGACAGGTGTAAATCTACCATATATATTATATCAGGTATGTTCTTTTTTGGTAAAAAAAATTCACATTTTAATTGAAGTGTAGGATCTATGTGGAAACTATTTCTTTGTTTAAGATCTCCAGTATTAATTTGTAATGAAAATATCCATTGGAGTGTCACACTATAAAAATGCATTCAGCCAGTTTTGTGACCTTTTTCCTTATAGAGGTCTTGTACAAAAAAAAATTCTTTAAAAAGCAAATAAAAACCAAAATGAGATATCACCTGACCTCACACTTATTAGGATGGCTACTATTGAAAAAGCAGAAAATAACAAGTGTTGGCAAAGATGTGGAGAATTTGGAACCCTTGCGCACTGTTGATGGAATGTAAAATAGTACAGCCACTAGAGAAAACAATATGATGATTCCTCAAAAAATTATAAATAGCATTACCATATGATCTAGTAATTCTATGTCTGGGCATATACTCAAAAGAATTAGAAGTAAGATCTCAAAGAGATAATCGTATACCAATGTTCATAACAGTATTTTCACAATAGCCACAAGGTGGAAGCAACACAAGTGTCCATCAACAGAAGAATGGCGAAACAAAATGTGGTATAAACATACAGTGGATATTATTCAACCTTAAAAAGGAAGGAAATTCTGACAAATACTGCAACATGTATGAAACTTGAGGACATTATGCTAAGTGAAATAAGCCAATCACAAAAAGATATATAACATATGTTTCCAGTTATATGAGGTCCCTAGAGCGGTAGTCAAATTCATAGAGACAAAAAGTAGAATGATGGTTTCTAGGGGTTTTGGTGGGGGGGGATGGGTAGTTATTTAACGTGTATAGAATTTTTGCAGCTTTGCAGGATGAAAAGAGATCTGGAGATTGGTCGCTCAACAATGTCAATATACTTAACGTTAATGAACTGTACATTTAAAAATGGTTAAGATGGTAAATTTTATATGCGTTTTACCACACTCAGCTATTTATTCCCTAAAATTAAAATTTAAAAATTCTTCAGTGAGCACTGATATATTCATACATATATTCTTTTTATTTTTATTAAACATATTTCATAAAAGCCAATTATGCATCAAGGCCTAGGTAAGATGCTAGGGAAAAGCTGTTAAGCAAAAGTAGATATAATCATTGTCCTCTAGGAACTTTCAGTGTATTATTGAAAATTGTGGCCCATTAGTGAATGAAAACTGTTCTTCATTAAATCACTCTTGTCTACAAAACCACTATGAAAGAGCTTGTTATCTAACTTAGTTCTTATAAGAATCCTGTTAGGTAGATGTTGGCTTCATATTTTAGCTATAATGAAAATAAAAAATTGTGAATTTAACAATATTTAAAACTTGACATTTTGGCAATAAAAGGCAGTTTTAATATAAAATTTCTCATTTTACTGCTTTTTAAGCATCTTTGTGGTGTTTACAGTTCAAACACATAACGAATTTTACATATACTACAATGGTTTTTGTAAATATACTGAGATATACAATCATCACAAGAATTTGATTATAGAGTACACATCATTCAGTTAAGTTCCCTCTTACCTCTTGGATGTCACTTCCACTTCCAACCCTCAACACCAGGCAGCCACCAATCTACATTTTATCTTTATTGCTTTGTCTTTTCTGGATATTTCATATAAATATAATGAAACGCTATGTTGTGCTTTATGTTTGCTTCTTTCACTTTCACAATATTTTTGTGGTTCTTCCATATTTTAGCATATATGCCATTCATTAGTGTTTTTAATCTAATATTCAATGTATATTTGAATATACCCCACCTACAGCCCAATAATGTTCTTTCTAGTCCTGTTCCCTTGATCCAGCATCCAGTAAAGCATTGCACATTGCATTCAGTTGCCATGTTTTCTTAGTCAACTTTAATCTAGAACCTGGGGGGAGCTAACTATTTTTCGTAACCTTTCTAGTTTCTTCTCTTTGTAGCACAGCTGAGGGGCAGTGAGCAAGGCTGATGGGCAGCTCCTTTTGTAGAGGGGCTTTAATGGCCACTGCTTCAAGCCTCTGACAAGAAAAACTAGTCTATGGAAGAACTAGGGCCAGAAGCTGTGCACATTGGTTTTTAATAATGAATAATACTTCATTTTGTGTTAACATACCTCGTTTTGTTCATTTATTCCCTAGTTAACGGACAATGAGATTATTTCCATTTTTTGGCTGTTATATATAACGCTGCAACGGACATAAGCTTTCATTTCTCTTGGATAAATGTCTAGGAGTAGAATGGATGATTCATATGGTAAATTTATGTTGAAACTTCTAAGACCCAGGAAAATTCTTAGAAAGTGGTTATACCTTCTAATATTTCCGCCAGTAATGTCTGAGTTCCTCCAGTTCCAGTTCTTCCAAATCCTACTCACATTTATTGGAACTCCCTTTTTAACTATAGCCGTGCTAGTGGATGGCTTTATTATTTTTATAATTATAAAATGGAAGTACATAAAATTTGTGTATATATCCTAGAGGTCATATCTTTTTTTGAAAAGAAGAATAATGAGTAGAAGATAGTAAACGAAAATATTAAAATTGGTTGCCTCTAGAAGATGGAGTTAAGATGTTTCTTCTTTACACCTTTCTATATTATCCCTTTAAAATACTTCTGAAGGAGGTCATCAAGAGGACGTGACCACTCTTGAGCTGGACCCAGCAATTGAAGGCTCCTCATCCCCTGCCTTGTCCTTGGAATGTGTGTTCAGTCCCCTGTTTTCACAGCTGGAGCCATTTTGAAGGACTCAGCCTTGAGAGAGCAATGTGTTGTTGCGATCATCTGGAGGTATATTAAAGTCTCTGTATCAACCTTTCAGATTCTGGTGGGCAAGTGAAGAGATCCACTTGTCTTGCAGCAGCCCAGACAAACCTCATAAGTTCCCTTGCTTATAAACCCTACCACATACCAATCTGGAGTGGTCTGTCTCTGGTTGCTCCTTGCCCTCTGTGTCTGGGGGCCAATTTCAGCTTTCACCTGGGGAACTCCCAAATTTGTAAACCAAGAATTGGCAAGTCAGCTGGGAGACCAAAGAAATGGGTCTTGGGAAAGAGGCATCAGTGGGAGAAATCCAAAGTTTGCCATCTATCTTTATGTGGAAAGGGGTGGCGCATGTATTAGATATTTGTGGACTACCATGTATATGAGGATGCCCCCAAAATGCCAGCTGCTTTAATTTTTTTGTTTGATAAACTACACATAGCACACTAAGGCAAAGAAGAGAAAAGAAAGGCTGCTACTTGGGGCTGGCCTCTACTGTGGGCAATTCAACTGGCCACCAATGCCCAGCCAGAAGCTGAAGCTCAAGTTAGAAAGCTGGAAGAAGAGCTCAGGTTAGAAAATGACATGCAGTTGTCCTCTACTCTGCTAGCTTTGGGGCTAGCAAACAAGGTGAGAGAACAAGATAATAAGTTGGAGACATTAGCATGCCATTTTACAAAGCTAGGAGGGCACAAACAGTGGCAGATTAAAATCCAGGTGCGTGTGACAAAACCTAATTAGGGCACTAAGAGGTAGAATCCCTAGGAAAGTGAAGAGAACAAAGGGGAGGATGTTACGGTGATGGACGGCGAAAAGGATGGAGTGCACCATGCCATCTAACCCCTAATACAAAGGAAAATTTTAAATAGTACCCCTAGACTTCTGATAATAGAGAAATATGCCCTAAAACTCCTAGGAGAAAACTGTTTCTCTGTCCCTTGAAGATGTAAATCTTATCATGTCTTTGATATGCCATTCCAGGCATTGTGCATTTCAACAGGTCCAGCTTGCAGCAGAACAGCAGGATTGCAGTGAAGATTGAGTAGTCCCCCCTCAGCCAGGGTTATGAAGTAACTCACCTATCCCAGTCTGACATCCCATGGCAAATTCCAGTAGATAATTCCTTTCCTAGGAGTGATAGGGCTTGGTTCTCTTAGCAGCATAGCACATTGATCCATGGTGAGAATTAGGGCAACAGCTGTCTCCTGTGATTTTTATAACTTTGAGGTGTTGCATGTCTCAGCAGGGGTCCCCTGTCTGGCATATGGGGTAACTGGCCCTACTGGTTGACCACTCAAATGTGTTAAAGCCGGGGATGGTACTTTAGTCCACCTAGTCAAGGGAGTTTTATCTGTTAATAATTTAGTCTGCTGTTATAATATTCCATATTTCTTTTTTATTAACCCTGCTGCTTGCGGGTTATAGGGCAGATGGAATCTCCTTCATGTCATGTTCTTTTGCCCAGTCTGGCATGTAACCCCTGATCACTGTCTATTCAATGAGGGTGTCTGTACATGGTACTCAGCTTCTCTAATCCCCCAATGATGGCAGCCTGGTTTGCATGGCAACAGGGGAAAGCTTGGGTTAGGCCAGACACAGTTTTCATACAAACCAAGGCATATT